ATGACTGGTAAAGAAAACCAACTAAAAAAAGAAAATCAGCAGTTAAGGAATGAAATTGAAGATCTCAAGAAGCAACTGGATAAATTGACTGAGGAAATTGGACATCGACGTGAAGAAATCAATCATGATGCTGGCATCGAACATGGCGGCGACACTGTGGGCAAAGAACGATCAGTTGAGTTTGTTTCAGCTCAATGCGATGATTTTGAAGCGTTTAAAAAGTACGCATCGAAAGAACTGAAGCGTTTAAGCTCAAGGCTAAATGTAATTTCAGATGCTTGCGATAGAATCTCGCAGTCAATTGATGGCTTCGAAATGTACAGCTACCAATTTAACATCAAAGTTATCGGTCTACCGTTGCTGGCAGCGAAAGAGACGACCGAGCAGACAGCTAACCTGTGTCTTCAACTATTTCATCAGATGGGAGTGAAAGATGTTTCGATAAATGACATTGACATTGCCCACCGAGTTCCATCAAGGAATCCCTCGAATCGACCAGACGTAGTAGTTTGTAAATTTGTTAGAAGGATGGTAAAGGAAAAAATCATGGCGTCTAGGAAGACAATAAGGAACATAACAGCACAGCAACTAGGATTTTCTTCAGAGATTGATGAGTCACCTCAATATTTACGATCATCTGACACCTCGTCTACAAACCCTTCTGTATGAGGCAAAGAAGTTCAAAGAAGCCAACAGCTTCAAATTCTGCTGGGCGAAAAATGGTTCCGTATTTCTCAGGAAATCAGAGAATTCACCGATCCGCAAATTTGTAAATATGGAGGACCTAAACGCATTTACCCAAGGATAGAGATAAGTCACGCAGTGACAATATTATTGTTTGTTTTTAATATCTCACCTATGATATGATTTCAAACGCGCTTTAGATGCAAAAGCGAACCAGAAGATACAAAGAACAGGACCGAAATAGAAAACTCTTTCTTAAAGAACTTCCATATTATAACTTCACTGGCAACTTAACTCTCTACCACGGGCAATTTAACAACTCTCTGATCCAAAATCAGCTACCAACTAAGAGACAACTCGACAACCTAAATGGTTTGCATGATCTTGATCTTTTCAGACTAAACTCAAATCTTGATGACAGTTTAAATACCAACAATAACTTATTCAATCAACAAATCTACAGCCGTTATTATTCTCCGTATAATTTTAATAAAAACCTAAATACCCAAATAAGAGACGTGATGGAAACGAGCTTTTCAATTTTTCATAACAATATTATCAGTTCAAATCACAATCTCGAAAAACTCCAAACCAACTACTTATCAGAAATGGATATTCAGTTTGATATTATTGGACTTACAGAAACGAAAATAACTAAAACGACTGGTAATATTAGCTTTGAAATTCCAGGTTACACTTTTGAATACGTAGCCACACCATTGGCGTCAGGAGGCGTCGCGCTTTTTATCAATGAAGACCTTAATTACACAGTGCTTGAAAGGGTCTCTTGCGAGGCGTTTCAAGCATTGTGGATAGAAATTTCCCATGAGAAACAAAAAAATGTCATATGTGGAATAATTTATCGTCAACACAACTCCCCAGATCAATTCATTGAATATTTGAATGATACAATCGAAAAGCTGGCTTCCACTGGGAAAACACTTTATTTAATGGGTGACTTTAACCTATGTCTTTTAAAGACGGAATCATCTTCATATAGTCAGGATTTCCTACTGGCCATACAGAGTTTTTATCTTGTTCCAACTATTGACAAACCAACACGCGTACGTAATAACTCAGCCTCTCTTATTGATAATATTTTCGTTAATAATCCTGATCAAGTTCTAATTAGTGGAAACATTATTACCGATGTCTCTGATCATTTTTCTCAATTTTGTATTTTGAAATCTAAGCGAGACAAACCTGTCAAGAAAACAATTAAAAAACGCGACTTCTCTCAATTCTCCTCTGAGGAATTTAATAATGATTCGTCCGCGATCGACTGGGATGCTATTATTGCCTCAAAAACAAATAATATTGATGAACTTTTCTCATCTTTCTACAGAAAATTAAATTCAGTCGTGAATAACCATGCGACTGTTAAAATTTTATCCAAACGTAAAATTAAACAACTTGCAAAACCGTGGATAACAAAAGGAATAAGGACATCAATAAAAAATAAGGAACAAGCTATATGTAAATGGAATACACAGCAAATATAAATATTATAGAAATAAAATTACAAACCTTATTCGTTTGAGTAAAAAACGTTATTACTATGATTTCTTTGAGAAAAATACAAATAATATGAAAAGACGTGGAAAGTAATAAATGAATTAATAAATAACCAAAGGACAAAAAGCAGAGTGTTAACGAAGCTGAAAGACCCAAGCAATAACAATCAAATAACACAAAATCCTTCCAGATTACCAAATATTCTAAATAAGCATTTTGCAAATGTTGGTAATTTACTAGCAAGTAAATTGCCAAAGAAAGATAACTATATGAGTTATCTTGGTAAATTGAAATCACCTGATTCTTCCTTCTTTTTCAAACCCATTACACCAGAAGAAGTTAAACAGGAAATTTTATCCCTACCAAATAGTAAATCCTGTGGCTTATACTCCTGCCCTACACAACTGCTTAAATCTTCTTGCAATATCATATCTCCAGTTCTTTCTCATATTTTCAATTTATCTGTTATCCTTGGTGTCTATCCTTCAAAACTTAAGATTTCTAAAATAACGCCAATATATAAAAGTGACGACGAGACCGACCCTTCAAACTATCGACCAATATCTCTTTTGTCTAATTTTAATAGGATTTTTGAAAAACTTTTGTACTACCGGATGAAGGAATTTATTGACAAAAACAACCTATTGTACTCCTCACAGTATGGCTTTCGCAAGTCACATTCCACAGAGCATGCAGTACTTGATATTGTCGAAGATATACTACGTAATATGGATAAACGGTACTTCTCATGCGGTGTCTTCATTGACCTGAAAAAGGCATTTGATACGGTCAATCATGAAATATTACTCGATAAATTGAACTTTTACGGTTTCCGTGGATTGATAAATGACTGGTTTCAATCATATTTAAAAAATAGAACACAAACAATTCAGATTGGAGAGCACTTATCAACACAATTTATCTCCCCCTGTGGTGTCCCCCAGGGATCAGTCCTTGGACCTCTTCTATTTTTACTTTACATAAATGACATTCACCTTTGTTCTGATAAACTAAAATTTTATCTCTTTGCGGATGATACTAATATACTTTATGCTGATAAGAATCTTAAGGCGATCGAGCAAACGGTTAATGTAGAGTTGAATAACGTACATGACTGGTTAACTACAAATAGGTTGACATTGAATACAAAAAAATCGAATTTCTTAATTTTTCGTCCTCGTCAGAAAAAAATGCATTTTTCTCCACAAATAGGTATTTTAGATTGTGAGACAAACCGAAGAGTTAGTTTAATGCAAAAAAGTTATATCAAATATCTAGGCGTTTTAATTGATCAAAATTTGTCATGGAAAAACCATGTTGACTCTGTTATCGTAAAAATAAGTAAAACAATAGGGATGATTGCAAAGCTGAGGTACTTCGTTCCCTCTACTGTCCTTGTAAATATTTACAATTCATTAATTCTACCTTATATAACTTATGGACTCCTTGCCTGGGGCAATGCGTCAGATGCTTATTTAAACAAGATTTTAGTTCTTCAAAAGCGAGTTTGGCGCTTAATCTATTTCACCGATCGAAGAGAGCATGCCAACCCTTTATTTGCCAAAGCAAAAATTCTGCCTGTTACGTTCCTATATTATGAAGCCGTAAGTAAACTTATGTTTGACGTGCACAACCAGAGGGCTCCCATTAATATTTTGAAACTATTTACTAAAACATCTCATATTCATACCTACAATACTCGATCATCCAAATCGCAGCTCTTTAGTACAAAGTACTCTAGACAACCTACAAAAAAAGGCTTTCTCACGTGTTGGTGTCAAAATTTGGAATAAGATACCGAAAGAATTCAAAACGTTATCAAAACATTCCTTTAATAAACAAATAAAAACGTCTTTATTTCAGATACTAGATAATGAAGATTCTTATCTTGATGTTGAAAAGATCTCCTCTAAACTTAAGGACTGCATAATTAAAACAAATTGATCCGATTGCTTTCAGTACTAATTTATTTGCTTCTATACTTTATTGAACAACTATTAATGTATTTACCAGTTATGCTTCTCTTTATAATTTAACAATATCTAACTATTTAGTTTTTAATTTTCTTTATATATTGTAAATAATGTTTGTTGATGATTGACCCACCTCGAATAGCAAATTTGCTATCTGCGGGTCAACATAATCTAAATTATTTTGTAAGAAAAAGAAAAATAAAGTGTGTAAAAATAAAGTGTGTATCATGGTTAATCGGTTCAACTGGTTAATTGGTCAAACTAGGGAAGACAGTTCCAGTTTAAATGGTTCAACTAAACCATCTACCTTTTTTGTTTTCTTTAATTAAAATAGTCAAACTATCTTAATTAATTCTCTAGGTTAAATAGACAAACTAGAAAACAAATTAATGTACACAAAATGCACCACCTATCTTAATTGGTCGAAGTCGTTCAAATGGCCAAACTAGCTTAAATGGTTCAACTGCATAGTCTCTAGAGTAGAGCTTAGTTTGTTTAAGAAGATAAAATAAGCCAAACTAGCTTAATTGTTTTAACTAGTTAAATAGTCAAGCAAGCAAAAACAGTGAAACTGCTTTGTATCGCAAATAGTTGAAGTAGTACAAATGGTCAAACTAGCTTCAGTGCTTCCACTGGACAAAATTAATCTATTCCATAGATGGTTCAATTGCACAGTCTCCATAATATGCCTTAATTTGTCAAAGTAGTTTATATTGTCAAACTCTAGTGTAACTGCTTCATCTGATTAAACAGTCAAACTAGTGAAAACAATAAACCGGCACAAATTGCACGATCTATCTAAATTAGCAAAGTAGTTCAAACAGTCAAATTAGCTTCAATTTATCGGCTGCACAGCACAATCTAGCTGAATTGGCGCAAGTCGTGAAAATAGTCAAACTAAGTTAATTAGTGTAACTAGTTCGATAGTCAAATCAGCAAAGAGTTTAACTACACAATTTGCACAATCTACCTCTGATCGTTGAAGTAATGAAAATAATTAAACTAGCTTAATAGGTTCGATCGCACAACCTAACGGTTCACTTTGTTAAAGTGCCTGTGACACGAAAGTTGTCTTGCCTTTTCAGGTTGATAGCTGTATTTAAAATAAGAAATAGTCGATCTTAGTGCCTAGCGATTTCTCCTTGACCATTTTTTCATGCATTAAAAGTACCATTTGCCGGCCAAATAGTGTCCCTATTAAGCGCACGGCTAAAACGATCTGTTACATACCTGTGACGTAGAGGACTGTGAAGATACGTCGGCAACTATGGTGGAGAAAGGAGAAATCTGGAAGAAAGAACAAACCCATTACGTGGCCTGAACGCAAAATGATGTAAGCTGCAAGAATAATAAAAATATATCGGGTATTTCACATATATAAGGCATTTTTATACACTACTTTCTAAAGGATGTAGCTGTATGGCCAAAATGGACGCGTCTCGATCGTCGACATCGAGGAGATTTAATCCTTCAATTTCGTCGGCTTTATGCTCCGTACCGCCTTCAAAGACGGCTGTAACCAGCACATATCACTATTCAAATCAGAGGAAGATAACCAATGAATTCAGCCTAAAGGAATGCTGATTAAGGGCCTGTTCCCACGCCGTACACTATTGATTCTACATTCTATGTGGCTGACATTTCGCAAGCGAAGATACTGAGATCCTTATTGTTTTTTATTTCACGCGCTCGAGATGTACTCATACTTATTGTCTTTTCACATGACTACCTTTGCACTTTTCTCATTGTATGAAAATCCTACCAATTATAGTTTCCATCGTATTTTGATAACAGTTACACAATCAGGCCTTTCTTGAGCTGACCGATATCCTGTTGTGCGAATAGTGCGGAACCTCTGGTGGATATGACATAAACAAAAACTCGAAGGGGTTATGAACTCTCCTTGCTTAGGTTTCCGAAAATCCATCCCACGAGCCCTCCATTCCCCCCTGTACTCAATACTTCATTACGCTGGCGGGCAGTTAAGGATATCTTCGACACGCTCCCAGACACCGAAGCCGAGGAAGGTGACAATCCCTTAGAGAAAGCCGTAACCGCTGTCACAAACTACTTTAAGCCGAGAAAGAGTGTTGTTTTTGAAGAATACCAATTTAGAATGGTGAAACAAAATCCAAACGAGTCAATTATGACATACTACACTAGAACTAGCGAAGACATGCAAATTCACAGACATTGACCGAGAGATGAAATCTAAAATAATTCAGCATTGTGCGTCTTCAAAAGTGAGAAAAAAAACCTTCAGCGAGCCAACCACAACACTAAAAATCATACTGGAGTACGGTAAAACCCCCTCGAAATAACCAAGATTTAAGCAGCTAGGCTTGAGAAACATGATACCAACTATGTATATAGATGCCATGAGGCACATCCAAAGACATCATGAACCGGAACTCCTACGCCAGATTACGGACCACCACGGAATGAATCAAAATAAAGAATTTGTGGCTGTTGTCAAACCCATATAAGGGAGGTCGAACAGCCTACCCAGCATATAAAAAAAGAATGCTGTGGTTGCAGGAAAATCGGGCACTTCAATTCAGTTTGTCGTAGCACTGGAAAAAAAGAAAAGTCTCCGGCACCAAAGGAAGCACCGATAAAGGTTAAAATCCTCATCGAAAATTACGACAGTGAGGACGAATATATTGTATTAGACCTGACGTACGGAGCGTCAACGATAGTAGAGCTAAACACCCACAGTTCCAAGTGAAAATCAAAAGAACATGGTGCAATACTTAAGCGGATTCCGGATCGAGCATTAATCCGTTCAATGAAAAGGACTTTAAGGACACTGTTGATCGTTCGATACTCCAACCTACATTTACGACAGTATATCCTTACAAATCCGACATGCCCCTAAAGATGCTGGGAAAGTTCGAAGCGAACATCGTCGATAAGAACGGTAAAACGTCGCAGGAAACCATATACGTCACCAAAGGCGCCGGAGGATCTCTACTCAGTTTGCGTGCATCGCAGAATCTACAACTCATCTAGGTTGCAGCACCCTTATCAACCCAAGATCAAAGATCAGTCATCGCGGAGCTCGTAGAAGAATACAGCGACCTATTTACCGGCTTGGGAAAGCTCAAAGACTTCCAAGTGAAATTACACGTTGACAACAGCATACCGCCATCAGCCCAACCACACCGACAAGTACCATTTCATTTACGAAAACAGCTAGAAGAACAACTAGAAAGAGATGAGAAGAATGGCGTAATAGAAAAGGTGGAGGGACAGACAACTGTTACCCTCACAACACGCGAACCGATGTGAACAATGTCACCTACAAAGCTGTCGAACGCCTTAAGGGAGAGCTGACGGTCTGCTCTTCATTGACCATCCTTTTTCGTGAGGCCAGGATTGTAGCCCTTAATCGCTACAACAAGAAGTCGTCGACCTAGCTAACGAAGGTCACCAAGGTATCGTGAAAAAAAGTCACTTCTGAGAACTCTCTCAAGGTTTGGTTTACCAGTATAGACTAACGATTGGAGGATACTGTGAAGTCTTGTTTAGCCTGCCAGGCAGCCACACCCAAAGCGAAGAATGAACCGCTACAAATGTCACCATTATTTGCGGGTCCTTGGGAAGAACTCAGCGTCGACTTCAAAGAGTTACCTTCGAAGGATACTTGCTGGTCGTCACAGATGACTACACCAGATACCCTGTGGTAGACGTGATGCAAACCGTATCATTCCGAGCTGTTAAGCCTCGACTGAACAAAATCTTCGCATATTTTTGAATCCTGGAAGTTCTTCGCTCTGACAACGGACCATCGTTCAACGGCAAACAATTTGCACACACCCTGGGGTTCAAACAATGCAAGGTCATCCCGCTCTGGTTCAGGGCCGATGGTGAAATGGAACGCTTCATGCGCACAGTTAAGAAGACCATTGGAAGTTAAAGCAGCGAATGTAAATCATCGCCCATGGAAGGAAGAACTGTGTGATCTGTTATGTAATAAAAGAGCCACTCCACACACGTCGACAAGTATACCACCAGACAGCACTGTTCAACCGATCGATACGCTCAAAGCTACCGCAACACACCCCCCGCACAAACCCGAGACTCATTGATCCGAGACAAAGACGACGCCACAATGCGAAAGATGAAGGAATATGCGGACAGCAAGAGGTATATCAAACCAACTAATCTATTTGAAGGGGATATGGTACTTGCCAAACGCAAATCATCGCACAAGAATATAGCTACACCATACGATCCAAACCCATATATCGTAAGCCAACGCAAGGGTGCAATGATAACAGCAAAGATCAACAAAGACATCAAAAGGAATTCGTCCCTCTTCAAAAGGGTGGACCCTCATACGGCTCTTAAGCCGGAAACCGAGATCGACGACGAAGAACTGGAGCTAGAACTGGAGGATCCCACAGTGTTGCAAAAAGTGGAATAGGCAACTTAATGGCGTTACCCTGTGCGAAAGTCGAGGAGAGCGCCTGCATACCTCAAAAACTATGTGGGACGTTGTTGCTGTGTTTGATTACTAAGATGACTGATTATAGTCTAGTTGATTACGAACGAACAAGTTATTGTATGTGAATAATCATTATTGGAAATTAATTAAGTGACATTTCGAGATAGAGCGTTGTGATTTCGATTGTACCGCTTCATACAAACTGTTCTTGTGTTTCGAATTATGTCCTTCTTCTAGAGTTCTAAAAGAAGAGGGATGAACTGTTGTTACTGTTAGTGCTAAGTCAATGTGTAACCGGGTCACTTGACACGTAGGTCATGTGACACAATGTATGGATAAGACGAGAATTCTAGAAATGAACAGAGTATCAAAAACCACCACACAGGTATACATCGCCACTGGACATTATTTCAGGAGTATTTATACGCTGTCTGACACAAAATTACGAGACGTGAGATTTGCAAGTGTTTGTAAGCTAACTCATTACCAGTCCACAGGACACGTTTAAGACAAAATAAGAGCACTTTTGGGCCCAAAAAAACCGAATTGTAAGGTTTTGTTTTTAATTTTTTTCTATTGGAATTGGCCTGTACATTTAATAAGCTAAATATTTACGCAAAGAAAACTGCGTGTCATGGGCACTTTTAATAATAAAACTAACGAAGACAGTTTTCCTGCACAAATTGCACAATCTATTTTGATTGCTTGAAATTGTTTAACTAGTCAGACTAGTTGAAACGGTAGAAATCGAAAATATGCACACACTAGCTAAATTGATTCAATTCAAACGGTTCTGTAATATATTGCTAGTGATATAAACCCACGAGGTCAAACAACATGGCCGCTTCAACACAACTTTATTCCAGCAATGTATTCTGGGTACATACACAGTAACCCTAGAGGGTACTTAATATATTACACTGCTTTCCCCTTACAAATAAGATATCCTTACAAGTAACACAATAGTAGCTATAACATTCACTACAGGTTCAGTCGGTCAACAGGTTTCCTAATTCTCTCTGATCGCCTCAGAACAACCGGCGATGGTGTGTTTACATTCTCTTCACTAATACTAGAATTAGGCTCATCATCTTTATCTGAAAAATTGACTGGTGGCTGCGGCACCCCGGATGAAACTTGGCTATTATCTACACTTAGAGTGGGTTGCTCACACAGTTCTGGGACAGGTATGTCCAACTCTCTAGTTTCATGTGGCACCTGACCATGTGCTTTAATTAAATGATCAACATGAACATATCTGGTCTTATAGCCAGTCTTAACTAAATATGTTCTGGGTCCACAGACCTTAACTACCCTTCCCAGAATCCACCTCTCAGTATTGCTACGGGCTTGAGTATTTCTCACTCGAACTATGTCATTCTCTGCAAACAGCCTATCTTGGTGACCCTTTAAATCCTTATATTCCTTCTGCTTATTTTGTTTACTCTCTACGGTTTTGGCTAGATCAGGTTTCACTAGAGTTAAACGAGTACGCAGTCTACGTCTCATCAACAGTTCTGCTGGCGTAGCACCTGTAGTGCTGTGTGGGGTGGTACGGTATCTCAAGAGGAAGTCTGCTAGTCTATGTTTGATAGACCTTCCCTTGTTTCCCTCTAGAACTTGTTTGACAAGCGCCTCCTTTACCACCCTGACTGATCTCTCAGCAGCACCATTTGATTGTGGGTGATAAGGAGGAGTTAGGTTATGTTTAATGCCATTTTTATACATAAACTCAGCAAACTCACTTGAACAAATTGTGGCCCATTATCTGATACCAACTCCTCGGGCAACCCATGTTGGGCAAATGTAAGACGCAACTCATTTATGATTTTCTCTGTGGTGATTGAGGTCATGTGCTTAACCTCTATCCATTTTGGAAAACTATCAACCATCACAAAAAAAAAATCACTCCCTTTCTGACAAAAATCAACATGAATACGCTGAAAGGGTCGCGTGGCCCATTTCCAGGGTATCAATGGGGCACAAGGTGGAGAGGTCCGCACATCCTGACACACTGAGCATAGTTTAATCTTTTGTTCAATTTCCTCATCCATCTTGGGCCACCAAACACAGGTGCGTGCTATTGCTTTCATTGCACAAATGCCTGGGTGCTCCCCATGCAACTCCTCCAACATCTTTTCCCTAAATACTGGGGGAATGATCACCCTGGAACCCCAGAGAATGCAATTTTGTTCACAAGAAAGTTCATGTCGACGGGTGTAATAGGGTTTTAAATCTTCATCACAAACCTCTGGCCACCCCACCATGACCCAATCAAGTACCTTGCTTAACCCTGGATCCATCAATGTAGCTTTCCCAATCTCTTTTGCAGTTATGGGGAAATCTTTGTCAATGGCACTTACATTGTAAATCTCACTCTCACTGCCAATCTTAGACTCTTCATGGGGTAATCTAGAAAGGGCGTCACAGTTGCTGTGCTTCTCGGAGCTCCTGTACTCAATGTTATAGTCATATGCTGAAAGGACAAGTGCCCAGCGCTGTATACGGGCAGCTGCAAGTGTGGGTATAGCAGCTTTTGGGCCCAAAATAGCCAACAATGGCTGGTGGTCAGTTACTAAAGTGAACTTTCGTCCATATAGAAACTGATTAAATTTTTTTACCCCGAAAATAATAGACAAGGCCTCCCGTTCAATTTGAGCATAATTTTTCTCACTTGAGCTGAGGGTACGTGACGCATATGCTATTGGCCTTTCTTGACCATCCTCCATTACATGACTAAGCACTGCCCCCAAACCATAACTCGATGCGTCACAAGCTAACTTAAGCTCACGATTTAGATCATAGTGGACCAACAGCGACTCACTGGTGAGGCCCTCCTTGCATGCCTCGAAAGCTTTCTGGCAGTCATCTGTCCATTCCTATTGAATAGTTTTCTGCAAAAGCCTATGCAGAGGTGCTAAGGTTGTAGCCAGCCCTGGCAAAAAGGAATGATAATTCTGAACCATGCCCAGGAAGGACCTTAATTCACTCACATTCTTTGGGGCTGGGGCTCTTTTCACTGCACTGATCTTCTCCTCCACCGGTTGCAGGCCTTCGGCACTTATTCTCAGACCTAGATAAACCACTTCAGGTTTCAAAAACTCGCATTTTGCCAGTTTTAAATGCAAATTGTATTGGTGTAGCCTGTCCAACACATCAGCAAGTATCTTGAGATTCTCTTGCCAGTCATTGCCCCCTATCAAGATGTCATCTTGTTTACAAACACATTTTTCAATTCCCAGAAGAATTTGATCCATTTTTGCTTGAAAGATTTTTGGGGATGACTTGACCCCATAGGGCAATTTCTGGTAGGAATAAAGGCCTTTATGAGTGGTAATTGTCAAGTACTCTTGACTTTCTTTGTCAACATTCAGCTGGGCATAGGCATGTGATAGATCAAGCTTACTAAATACCTTAGAGCCAACCAGAGCAGCATACAAATCCTGAGTAGTAGGTAAAACATATTGCTCATCTTCAACTGACTGATTGATAGTGGATTTGTAGTCTCCACATATTTTGACAGTGTTATCAGCCTTTGGCACTACCACAATTGGGCTAGCCCAAAGTGACCTGTCAACTTTCTTAATAACACCATGCTTTTCTAGTTTGTCTAACTCTTTTTCGATTTGCTCTTTTAATGCGTATGGAACCCTACGCGCTTTCACGAATACAGGTTTTGCATCGCCTCTCATAGTAATATGGGCCTCAAGGCCCGTCATACCTTTGTAACTCTCAGTAAACAATTCGCTATGTTTAGATAGCAACTCATTCAGTTGACTATCAGCACTCCTAGGGTCTCCCTTGGGAATACAAAATATCTCACCCCACTCAAACTTAATGTGCCGCAGCCAGTTTTTACCAAGTAAAGTAGGTTTTGCATCATAATTGGCTACAAGAATGGGTAGAGAGTATTGTTTACCCTTATACACTATGTCACACTGCATTTCCCCTGACACATCAAGTAATTCACCCGTGTATGTCTTAAGTGTTACTTTAGAAGGAGACAGAGGCTTGTCTGCAAACCTCTCTAGATATTCACTTCTACTCATTATTGAGAAATCTGCAGCTGTGTCTAACTCCATCATACACAGTTTACCATTGATTTCCATTTCTACAGTGTACCTATTGCAATTAGGCTTGTTTTGGTCAAGCGAATTCAGAGAATAAATTCCTAATTCCTCATCCTCACACTCATCATTGCCTTATTCTGAAGCCTGTACACTATGAATTTTACCCTTTTTCTTTTCATCCTTACTGCGGCAAACAGAAGCTAAATGCCCAATCTTGGAGCACTTGTAGCATTTTGCTGACTTAAATTTACAAGACTGACCTGAATGATTACCCCCACACCTAGGACATGACAATTGTTCAGTGTTCTTCTTTTCAGTGTTTTTACTTCCTTGTTCTGTCAACTTGTTGACTTGAACAGTTTCACTGCGTGAAGGGTGAAATTCTTGGGTGTTCCTGTCTGCCATCTCCATGGTCTTGGCAATACTGCAAGCCTTTTCGAATGTGAGGTCATCTGTGTTCAGTAGTTTGTTTTGTATCTTCGGATTGTTCAGTCCGCATACGAATCGGTCACGTAACGCCCGATTGAGGAATTCACAGTGGACCGCCAATCTCTTCAAAGCCAGCACATAATCGCTAACTGATTCTTCGGATTTTTGATTTCGCGTGCCAAAGTGAAAACTTTGTGCGATTTCCAGGGGCTTCGGGTTGTAGTGTTTCTCCAAGACTTCCACAATGTTAGTGAATGACACGTCCTTCGGTTTAGTGGGCGCCAATAAGTTGCTGAGGGTTGTGTATACCTCCGGCCCCACTTCTGTCAGGAAAATGGCACGTTTCCTGTTCGCTACCACAAGGTTGGTGGCAGCGCTTCCCTCTCCTGTTGTCGTTACAATGTTGTTGGCTGTAAAGAACATTTCCATCCTCTCAACGTAGGCACTAAACGTTTCACGTGCGACGTTGAACTCGCCAAC